GTGTCCGCCGCATCTACACACACACACACACACACACACACACACACACACACACACACACACACACACACACACACACACACACACACACACACACACGCACCTACACACTGTACAACACGCACCTACACACTGTACCACACACACCTACAGCTCCTAAAGCCTATAATCAGGCTACAGCCGTTTTAGCCCCACGCACCAACGGAGAGAGACTAACTTATGGCAACACAAAAAGAAACATGGGAGCGGTGGAGTGATGAGGTGTCGGCGTTCTGGCGATTTACTCGGAAGGCTTCAGTAGAAGCTGCTGGGAGTCCCAGCAGCTTCTACTGAAGCCAGTCCCCAACTCCGGGGACTTCCGGCCGGGGACTCCGGGTGGCAGTATACGCCGTGAAGTTGTTTGCGGCCTGCCAGTAAACCCAAAGCAGAAGAAGACGAAGTGAAGTCAGCGGCTTCATTTGCGTAATCTTCCCTCAGGGAACTTATTCCGGTGTGAACGCGATCTGTACTTAGTTCCATGGGGGTACTAAGTGCTGGCAATAACTGCTGGGCACTAATGCCCTTGCCACACGAGGACGAAAACGATAACGGACCGCAATCGTTATCAAAAAAGTCTTCCGTCCACACGCAACAGGCACCAGAAACGTGTCCGTTCACACGAGACCGCTTGAAAGCGCTGGAGACGCTGTAGTACATATGCCAGGCCTGTAAGTGGCGCTGTAGTCCTGCACAAAAGCAGCGAAGAAGACTTCCCTCGCATTGGTTGCCATGGTTGCCCTTCTGTTTATTCTCCGCTGTGGACGCTCTGGCTCTTTTTCTCCCTCCCAGAGGAAAGCGTTTGCTCCTACTCTCCGGTTAGTCCACCAGCAGATGACAAACACCCACCTCTCCGCCTCTTCCAAGGGACGAGGGGACCGTGCAGCAGAGTTTCAGTTAGATTTTTTTTCGCCAGTCAAGATGTCCGTTAAAGTTGAAATCTTCCGGACAAAATTAGAAAAGTGCCGGTCAGGGGTCTTCTTTGTTATTTATTGAGCTTTAAAACAAATGAATAACGACTCTATATAATAATATAATAATAAAAAACTGAGCCTCTCTTTTCCTCCCCCTCTTTGAGAGCCCAGCAGCTGATCTCTGAGCAGGAGAAGCGGGGCTATTGCGTCATCGTTATCAGGACATGATCGTATAGGCGTAAACACGGAGCCGTTTGCCCCCCCAGAGCGTTTCGTTTGCAGATCTACCCACCTAGGGACCCGTTATCGTTATCGTTTTCTGCGTTTCCGTGTCGGCCTCGTGTGGCCGAACCATCTATCTGATAGTGAACTAGCAGATACGACCATTTTCGTCCTTGTGTGGCAAGCACCTAAGTACGGCAAAGTACTTGGTGTGAAAGCGGCTAATGTGTCACAGGCTCCCAGCAATGCTCATATAATATATATAGATAATTCACGCATGTACGCAAGTTAAAGCGCAATTAGAATCAAAACATAAAATAAAGTTACCAAAGGTATAACATATAAAATATTTATATTTACAGAGGTAACAGCAGCTCTAAAACAGTTAGGTAGGTAGGTAAAATATTGTATGAGTATAAATGCAACAAAAACAATTAACTTTTTTTAAAGAAACCCAAATGTCCTTAAACGTCTAAAACTACACCCACTTGCTGTGAACTTCTCATGGTGACTGAAGCATTTCGGTTTATTGAAGTAAGATTTTTCCCAGAAAGAAAGGCATGATGGGACTTGTGTGTGTGTGTGTGTGTGTGTGTGTGTGTGTGTGTGTGTGTGTGTGTGTGTGTGTGTGTGTGTGTGTGTGTGTGTGTGTGTGTGTGTGTGTGTGTGTGTGTGTGTGTGTGTGTGTGTGTGTGTGTGTGTGTGTGTGTGTGTGTGTGTGTGTGTGTGTGTGTGTGTGTGTGTGTGTGTGTGTGTGTGTGTGTGTGTGTGTGTGTGTGTACTGATATTTCCTGCCTGCTGACCTACTGCACTCTTTATTCCGAGCTTTTCCCTCCCCTCCCTCTCAGTCTCCGTGTGATCTGATATTTGATCCCTCATTAATGATTGGCAGCCTCTGGACTCTGTACACTCTGTTAGTCAGCTGCAGAGACACATGACTTTAATGGCAATCATATATACATGATAAAGAAAGACACAGCTCAGAACCTGCTGGCAGCTCCTTTTGGATTTCTCTGGCCAAATTAATGCATATGCAATACATTTTGGCAAGGCTAAGGCTGGGCTATATGTTCAAAAATGACAGATTTAAAGTGCCCCTTTTATGCTTTTGGGGGTTTTCCCTTTCCTCTAGTGTTCTAAATGTTTATTTTTCTGTGCATATACATAGTCTGCAAAGGCTAAAATCCCTGGTTTCCCTCCAGAGGGAGTGTCTCTTTCACACACTGCCTCACATGCCCCCAAATGACTCCCTTGTTTACTTCCGTTACATAGTGACATCACTATAGAGGTTTCTCATTTCTCTAATTCCTATCCTCGACTCCTATCCTCGTGTCTTAGTCCCGCCCACAGGAGATGCGAGCGGAGGAGTCGAGGAGGGGAAGCAGCAGGCGGTTAGAGAAATGAGAACTCCTGTCCTCTGAGCGGTCATTTTAAAGAGACGTCCATTAATGATGACAGGAGGCACAGCAGCACTCTGTCTGATGGACAGATGTGTTCATGACCACTTATATATTTACTTTGAATTCATTCACAGTGCGGTATAATGAGACAATAACAGGCTACAGATGCGGACATATATACACACATATATATTTATATAAATATATACAATTTCAGATTCAAACAAGTATGAGAGCACTCTCATAATAACGTAACACTATCAGAGACTGAATATACCCCCCCCCCCCCCCTCTCTGGTCGCTACAATGGGGAATTGAAATTACGGGCCAAAAGTTTTATTTACCAGTATTAAAAGTAAGCATAGGACACCAAACCAACTGAGACCTGTCTGTCTGCCGCATCTACACACACACACACACACACACACACACACACACACACACACACACACACACACACACACACACCTCTACACACTGTACAACACGCACCTACACACTGTACAACACGCACCTACACACTGTACAACACGCACCTACACACTGTACAACACGCACCTACACACTGTACCACACACACCTACACACTGTACCACACACACCTACAGCTCCTAAAGCATCAGGCTACAGCCGTTGTGTATTTTATTATGTGAAGCACTAAATGGTCTTAGAAAAATATCGACTCTTTGTTTGTAGATATCTACTAAACTACAGCATACAAATACAGAGAGTAATGTAGGCCTGTTATACTGAGTGATATATATTATACACACTGCTCTGCTTTCTGCACGGACCTCACAGCTGTTCTCACTGTAAACATCGCGTCGCGATGAAAGCAGTTAATAACATAATATCCAGGGGATGCATGCAGAGCTGTGATTGGCTGAGATCAGTCCGGCCGTGCGTCACGATCTTTTAAACATCACTGTTGTTTCCGTGGAGGATCCGCGGAGGACCCATCAGTGTATCCTCAGTTATAGCTCCTCCAGAGAGCCTCCTCGATGCTCGATCCTTGGTCCTCGATGTGCATTTAGAGAAATGAGATGTCCTTCAACATGGCGCGCTGAAATCCATTTCCGGGTCACTACCTGAGGACCGAGGATTCGAGTCGAGGAGGGGGAAATTAGAGAAATTAGAAACCTTCTATGTAAAACTTGCATGGCTATTGACTAGCGCTTTGACACATTGTAAGTGATAGGCTAAGGGGCGGGACATTTCTAAGCGGTTGACCAATCACAACAGAGCCGGCCAGCTAGCCAATCAGAGCAGACTGGGCTCTGGTTTCAGACAGAGGGTGAAAAGAGGTGCAGTATGATAAAAATAAAGAGCTTTTAAAGCATGGAGACATGTCCCAGTAGAGACACAACATAAAAATATGAACCTGAAAATGAGCATTTAAAAATATTCTTCTTGGAATAAAACACTAAAGAAAAAAGAAGATGAACAATTGTTTATAATGTACAATATTTTTTTCAAATGGGTCAGATCATGCTGTACGCTCGGCAGCAACGCCAATATGTATCAGAAGAGTGGGTTGGGGGGCACTTTTGTACATTTTTCACTTCTTATTCCCCTTTCTTTTGTCACCCTTTGCTGACCACACCGGTCTTCAAATTTCAACTACACATCTGTAGAGTTTCGTCACCACACATACTCGGGTGGTGTCTCTGGAAGCACATTTGTGTTATGCTGTATTATTACGTTACATATTTCCATATTATTAAAGTCAAACAGTATAACTTTGTGATATAACATTTGTATGGAGTACACAGTTTAAGTAGATGGCATTGTGTATTGTTTATTCTTTCATGCACAAATTAAAAATACAGAAACATAACAGAACAAATATTTTACAGTGCTATAACAGGCAGAAAACCCACGATTAGTATCAGAAGATATATCAATTCAATAGTGATGGCAAATTATTAGAACAAAATATAATAAAAATAACAATGAAATATAGAAACATCAAATAAAGGAACTGTGTTTTTGAAAGGTGTTTTTGTGTATGTGGGTACATTTCAAATGAATGTAGAGAGAACATGTTTAGATGCATTACATTTAACATCATTCAAACGCTCACCCTCAACATATGATATTATGTTAACATTTGATGTACTGTGTGTATATTCACAATACCATGTATTGTTTTTGTCTCTGGAGGAGATGCAAAAACGTGTCTTGCTCGGCACCTTTATTTAAAACTCATACATACTGAGGAAAGATGGAAAGACTATACCGCAGATAAAAGCAAACATTATGTAGGCAAAAATAAACACTGAAACAAATAGAAGCTGTGTTTGATGTCAAGGTTACAGTTATTAAAGCAAATGGGTGTGAATACAAATGCATAACATTGATAGAGCAGAGCACAGCGGCGCCTGCTGGTGTGTGTGAGACACTGTCTAACGTCTCTGTTGTGTTGCAGGACCACTGTCACTATCAGGGCTACGTTCAGAACATGGACGGTTCCTCTGTTGCTATGAGCATCTGCAATGGCCTCAGGTAAAACACACACACACACACACACACTACTACACACTAGACTTTATACACACTGTACACACTCCCCTCTCTCTCAAGGACAAAGTTTCCTATTTATATTCCCCTCACAGATGGCTGTGTGTGTGTGTGTGTGTGTGTGTGTGTGTGTGTGTGTGTGTGTGTGTGTGTGTGTGTGTGTGTGTGTGTGTGTGTGTGTGTGTGTGTGTGTGTGTGTGTGTGTGTGGTGTGTGTGTGTGTGTGTGTGTGTGTGTGTGTGTGTGTGTGTGTGTGTGTGTGTGTGTGTGTGTGTGTGTGTGTGTGTGTGTGTGTGTGTGTGTGTGTGTGTGTGTGTGTGTGTGTGTGTGTGTGTGTGTGTGTGTGTGTGTGTGTGTGTGTGTGTGTGATCCATCCTGCTGTTTAAGACTGTGTGTTTTATTATTAATTAATATTGTGGACTACACACACATTTGTTGGCTTAATTAACAGTTTGACTTTCTGAATCACTGTGCAACACACACACACCTATCTCTGAGTAACACCGGTCTGAGCTGAACCTTAAAGGGCCAGTTCACCCAAAAAACGTTGTCTTTGCCTCAAATTTGGTGCCATCACATCCAGTTACACAGATTACAACAGAAACAAAAAAAACGTTTTTATGAACAATAAACAGCTGCATTTTTGAAAACCGATAAAGGTAATTGAATCACATATTCTGAAAATGTTTCTTGAAAAACTCATATAAAGTATGCTGTAGATGAACTCTTTCAACCAGTTTCTAAGTTGCGGTGTCTCTATATTTATATGGTGTGGATATGATGTCTCACTCGGACTAAAACAAACTAAAATCAAAATATTTTGTCTTTCTTTATTTCAGAGGAGTGTTGCATCTCTCCAATGACAGTTATGGCATCGAGCCATTAGACTCCGCCCCTGACCAGCACCTGGTGTACCGCCTGCAGGATGTGACATCACAGCCTCTGGGGTGTGGCACGCCACACTACGATGGGCATGAGCATGACAGCAACACCACGGAGCATGCTCAGTACAAACCAGAGGAAATCCACCACAAACACCACAGCAGGGTGGGTCCACGCATGCACACACACACACACACACACACACACACACACACACACACACACACACACACACACACACACACACACACTCAAATACACTAATTAAACAATAGAAAATGAATGTGTGCATGCAAAGTAACTTGTTGTTTATGTTGCAGATGAAGCGAGCTATTCTCCATCAGACTTACTACGTGGAGCTGCTGCTGGTGGTTGATAATGAGAGGGTAACACACACACACACACACACACACACACATACTGTACATGTTATGTTTTAAATGAACAGTTCGATATTTTAAGGAAACGCACTCTAAATGTTTTCACTGTTGCATACTTACAAATCATTTAAAAAGTGTCTTGGGCCTTCTTCTTTTTTTTGCACATGGTACCAGGGGCCTCATTTATAAAACTTTGCAGAACATACAATATTTGTTTTGATTTATAAAAGTGGTGTACATTTGCACAAGCTCAACACACCCCCTGGTTACCTCCCACAACAACCCATGAATCTGCTATCTCGATGAGTGCAAAGCTAGGAAGAAAAAAATATTCGACTGTTTGATTGAGATGCTTATGGGGAGGTTGAGGCCAAAATAAAAAAAGCCTTGCTAGGTAGCCCAAAGCCCTGGAATAACAGCCAAAAGGAACTGGATTAAGAGGCAACATGTTATAGTCTCAGTGCAGCTGCCATCAGTGAGAGCATAACTGAAAGCATGATGATATTTACTGTTAGTGAAATATAAAAAAAAAGAAAAAAAAAAAACTTGATTTAGTGTTCTCACCTAAAAGTTAAGGCCAAAGAGGGAATATAGTAAGTGCCACTTGTGGGGGCAAAGGGACGCCACACCTCTCTCTGTCTGTGAAGCACATGGCATTCATTTTCATTATGCCTCATTAGGATCAGTCACACACTCTCTCAGCGGCGAAACTGTGGCGCGCTTACACTGTAGGTGCGCCGCGTTTGGGGGTGTGGGGGGGGTGCGGGTGCTAGTGGAGCCTTGCAGATGAGGGTGCTGCAGCCCCCTCAGCACCCCCCCCCTTCCCGCATCCTATCGCGATGTCTCGCTGTCTCGCAGACCCCACGCAGCAACCAGGAAATGACACCAGTAACCCAGCTCACACTGTCCCCTCCTCACAGCAGCGAGCCCTGCAACGTCCTGCCAACACGGCACCCAGACCCCACGCAGCATTCTCATTTGTTTGTCATTACTGGTGTCATTATCTGGTTGCTAACGCCATTGTAACACATAATCACTGATGTTCCGCTGTAACGGTGGTGGACTCATCAGAACAGAGTGGGCGAGCTGACCAATCAGAGCACAGTGGGCTCATAGGGAGGGGGGGGCAGGAGCTCCAACAAGCCGTTTAGGACAGAGAGTGAATACACATACTATACAGAGATGCTGTATGAGAAACCAATGTGAGTTTGGAACATTGAACAATGTAAATCTATTTTAGTAGACCTCAACAATGGAATTATGATCAGTAGAAATGGCCATGACATGGGACCTTTTAAGTTTGGTGTGAACATTTTTGTCCTTGTTTTTTTTTCAGTATAATTATATGAATAAGAACGAGACAGCAGTGAGGGAAGAGATGGTTCACCTGGCCAACTTTATAGACAGCGTGAGTACACACACACACAAGCTTGTGGATGCATATGTAGTTGCGGTATTATTGTTGTCAATTGCATAGAAAGTGGCATGAACGTGTGTGTGTTCACAGACATCTTCAACAGGTCCCTGCTGCAGTCTGTAGTCCCCACATGTCTTAAACACTCCTCCATCGTTCCTGTCCCCAAAAAGACAATAATCACCAGCCTCAATGACTACCGCCCAGTAGCACTCACCTCCACCATAATGAAGTGCTTTGAGCGGTTAGTCAAAACCTTCATCACCTCCTCCCTCCCTGAATCTCTGGACCCCCTGCAGTTTGCCTACAGAGCAAACAGGTCCACAGACAACGCCATAGCCCTCACCATCCACACTGCCCTCTCACACCTGGACCAGAGGAACACATATGTGAGAATGCTGTTCATTGACTACAGTTCAGCATTCAATACCATTGTGCCCTCCAAGCTGGCCATCAAGCTCAGAGACCTCGGGCTCAACAGCGCCCTCTGTGACTGGATCCTGAACTTCCTGACGGGCAGACCCCAGGCAGTGCGGGTGGGAAACATCACATCCTCCACCCTGATCCTCAACACCGGAGCCCCTCAAGGCTGCGTGCTCAGCCCTCTCCTCTACTCCCTGTTCACTCACGACTGCGTGGCCACACACAGCTCCAACACCATCGTGAAGTTTGCTGACGACACGACCGTCATCAGCCAGATCACGACGAGACGGCGTACAGAGAGGAGGTTGAAAACTTGACATCTTGGTGCCAGGATAACAACCTCCATCTCAACGTCAGCAAAACCAAGGAGCTGATTGTGGACTACAGGAAGCAGCAGGGAGAGGGACACGCCCCCATCGCCATCAATGGGACTACGGTGGAGAGAGTCAGCAGCTTCAGGTTCCTCGGGGTCCACATCACTGAGGACCTGACATGGACTCTTCACACCACCACCATCACCAAGAAAGCTCGACAGCGACTCTTCTTCCTCCGCAGGCTGAGGAGGTTCAACATGGACTCCAGGACACTCTGCAACTTCTACAGGTGCACCATAGCGAGGATCCTGACCTTCTACAGGTGCACCATAGCGAGGATCCTGACCTTCTACAGGTGCACCACAGAGAGGATCCTGACTGGCCGCATCACGGCCTGGTACGGCAGCTGCACCGCCCTCGATCGTAAGGCTTTACAGAGGGTGGTGAAAACTGCACAGAACATCACCAGGACGGAGCTGCCATCCATGGAGGACCTTTACTCCCAGCGGCTCAGGAAGAAATGCCTCCGGATTATTAAAGACCCCCATCACCCCAGCCACAAACTGTTCTGTCTGCTGCCGTGTGGCAGGCGCTACCGCAGCATCCGGACTAAAACCACCAGACTCAGGGACAGTTTCATCCTACAGGCAATAAGACTGTTAAACACCTGAACTGCTGTAACAACATTCATAACATTCTGCTACTTAGTAATCATTTATCTATTTACCTAATATATCATTCAAATAGCTTGCATATAGACTCTTATTTCACATTTTTTTTTAAACTATTCCTTTCTTTTTGCAGTTACTTTTAATATTTACCTGCACTATATTTTTCTGTCTTTCTGTAATATTGTGTTGCACTGTTGGAGAAGCCTGTGACTTAAGAATTTAATCGACATAACTACTCTGTAGCTATGGTTGTATGACTAATAAAGAACCTTGAACCCTTGTGTCGTTCAGATCTACATACAGCTGAATGTTCGGGTGGTGCTGGTTGGTCTGGAGATCTGGACTCAGCAGAACCTGATCAGCACCGAGGGGGGAGCCGGAGAGGTGCTGAGTCGCTTCACCCAGTGGAGAGAGAAAGACCTGGTCCCTCGCCGCCGCCATGACTCAGCGCAACTCATCGTGTTAGTACACACACACACACACACACACACACACACACACACACACATACAGGAGTCAATATTGAGGATATTGGTGATGATGATGATGTTGATGATGATGTCCTTGCAGGAAGAAGAGTTTCGGGCTAACAGCAGGGATGGCTTTCGTCTCCACAGTCTGCTCCAGGAGTCACGGGGGCGGGATCAACGCGGTACGCTGCTGATTACTTCCGCCCGTCGACGGAAAAATACGTTTTTGATAGACTGAAGATAATTAACAGGGACCAGTAAACTGAATGTACTCTCTCTCTTTCCGTCCACCTGTCTCTGTCTTCTCTCTGCAGTTTACCAATAACAACATTCCCTCGTTTGCCTCCATCGTGGCTCATGAACTGGGCCACAACCTCGGGATGAACCACGACGACGGGCGCACCTGCCCCTGCCCCACCGGCGCCTGCATCATGAACTCTGGAGCCACGTAAGACACAATAACACAGACAGACAGACAGACACACAGACAGACAGACAGACAGACAGACAGACAGACAGACACACAGACAGACAGACAGACACACAGACAGACAGACAGACAGACAGACAGACAGACAGACAGACAGACAGACAGACACACAGACAGACAGACAGACAGACAGACAGACAGACAGACACACAGACAGACAGACAGACAGACAGACACACAGACAGACAGACACACAGACACACAGACAGACAGACAGACACACAGACACACAGACAGACAGACAGACAGACAGACAGACAGACACACAGACAGACAGACAGACAGACAGACAGACACACAGACACAGACAGACAAAAACAGCAGGTTATTTTATTGAAGGAATCATCTTATTTTGCACTTGCCACTCCATCTGTTTATGTATGGGCTCATGCTGCTTAATGTATGTGTGTCTCTGTCATACAGTGGGATGGGACTCTGATTCTTAAATCTGTATTCTGTGGAAAAAAATGAAAAGCATTGAATCAATATCAGAGATCCTGTCTTATGACAACCACAGGAGGCTGTACTGCTTGGAAATTAAAGAACACTTCTCTCCTCTCTCTTATTCCTTCTCTCCTTCCTGTTCTTCCTCCTCCTCCTCTCCCTTACTCCTTCTCCTTCCATTCTTCCTTATCTTCACTTCTCTCTTCATTTTACTTATCATCATCCTCTCTCTTCATCCTCCTCCTCCTCCCTTTACCTTCTTCTCCTCATCCTCCTCTTCTCATGTTTTCCTCCTGCTCACCTCTCCACTCTCCTGCTCCTCCCATCCTCCCTCTTTCCTCCTCTCCTCCCCCTCCTTCTTTGATCTACTCCCCCTTTTCTTCCTCCTTCTCTCCTTTTGCTGCCTCCACATCTTACTCCTCGCCTCTCTCTTCCTTCTCCTTCTCCTGCCCTTACACCTCCTCACCCCTTCCTTCCTCTCCTTTTTCCTCATCTCTTTCCTCCTCTCTCCAAAAGACATGCAGACATTCACTGGAGTATCCTCCATGCATCAACTTTGTTTTAGGGCAGGTCAAGTTCTGGAGATCACATTCCAGCAAGTTTGAATGAATGTATTTGTGGGTGAAGTGTGTTTTAATGCGAGTACACTGTGCAAAGATAGTGACAAATAAAAGTTGATTTCAAAAATCAAAGAATCTCTCCCCCTCGTCCTCTTCCTCCCTGCAGAGGATCCAGAAACTTCAGCAGCTGTAGTGCTGATGACTTTGAGAAGATGATCTTGTCGACGGGGGGAACGTGTCTCCTGAACGTCCCTCGCCCTGACGAGGCCTACAGCGTCCCCTTCTGTGGGAACAGGCTGGTGGACATGGGGGAGGAGTGTGACTGTGGCTCAGAGAAGGTGTGTGGCTCATAGTCCGAAAAGAAACTCTGCAGTGTATACGTGAATATTCTCTGTGATTTACAAGTTATTCCTTCGTGATCAGGGTTGGGAGGGTTACTTTAAAAATGTATTCCGTTACAGTAATCGCCTGTAAACATTTTTTTATCAGAAACCTCATCTTAGTATCAAAATATAAAAGTAAGGTAACCTGATTACTTTCCCTTACTATTAGATTTCCTCAATACCAAATACATCGAAGAGAAAAGATATACCAACAAAATGTTTTTTTACCTCAGTGTTATTAAGACAACAGAACACTGTAACCAAAAGGAAGAAATCATGATATTTAGGATCAAAAAGGATTTTATTGATAGTACAAGCTGCCTGTCACTCAGCATATTCAGCCAGCAGCCTATACACCAACAATGAAACACATGAGCACATACTACAGTTTAAAAAAGCAGAAATTAAATTTGAGCTGACAGAAAATGCTCCGTTTTAGTTTAATACACACAGTTAAGCTCACACACACTATTCTATTCACATATAGGTTCACCTACTGAATTAAAAACAGAACAAATGAAGCAAAGAAAGTGAAAACCATAAAGCAGATTCAGGCAGTAGGCGTATAGATTCACACTTAAAGTATTATCCTACAGAACAGCTCTAAGAGAAGAGATAACATCTGATAGGTGTTGGTTACATTGTAATCCTGCTAGTAATACCTAATAATTAGAAGTGTAACAGAAATCTGATTACGTCTTTTTTTATGTTACTGTAAAGGAATACAGTTACCCTTTTTTGTGTCCTGCTTATGTTATCCTGTCACATGTAATCTGTTACTCCACAAGCCGGGTTGTGATAAAGAAAACACCACAGAGGCTGCAGGGAAACAGGGAGTGCCCCACACAATCGTTAGTGGGGAGGGGCAACAGTGTGGTTACTGCTGCACAAAGGCTATCACCTCCTCCAAATCACTATGATGTTTTCTTCTGAAGAATGTCTTTTCAAAGTCCAGATGTGTGTGGTATGAAGTCAACACTATTTCTAAACTCAATTATAAACATTGCCCCTGCAGGCATAAAGCATGGCAATTGATCCAACCTTCTTTTTCTTTTTGTAAATCGCAAACTTTAATTTCTTAGAAGATCTATGTTGTTTTCTCGTAAATGTACGACTTTACAGGGTGTCCGCGGGGTCTTAAAAAGTATTAAAAGTTGATAAATACATTTAGCGAAAATGAAGGCTATTAAAAAGTATTAAACGGCATTTTCCAAGGTATTACATTTTGTAGCTTGTTTCCAATAAGTATATAAATTGTCCAAAGAGGTTGTATTCTACAGTGTGCCTGAATGTAATCATTGCGTAGGTGTGTAGTGTGATTCTGTGTAGTTTATTTATGGCATCCCGTTGGGTTTGACGTCATCTGAACAGGACATCGCACGCTCACTGCTTGATAGTGCGCGAAGGCCCGTTTACGCCGGTTGTTAAACAACATCGTTATGGGGAAATGCAATGTGTCCAAATGGTTGGAAGATAAGGAGGAAGGACAATCAATACTGTATATAGTAAATGTGAGGTAAAGTGTGTCGCCAAGGTAACCGGTTAAAACTCCAAGTGGCGATGAGGTCTTAAAATGTATGGAAAGGGTCTTAAAAAAGGTCTTAAAAGGTTTTACATTTGACTTCAGGATTCCTGCATATACCCTGCTTTAATCTTGGAAGTTTTTCTTCCCTCCCATGGCTCTGTAATAAAACAAACATTGTCACCTACATGGCCCCAATAAGCCGACATGTGTGTACTATTTTACTAATAGATCAAATGTGAAAAATAATGTACTGGTTCTAGTGTACCCTGGTGTTCATATTCAAATAAACCATGATCCTACCAACCACTAAAGCCTATTCATATTGACATTGAGTCAAATGTTCTCCTCTACGTATGAAGTTTTAGCGTCATTATTATGGTGAATGAACTATTAGCAGCTCTTGCCCGCATTTTGCCTGTAGATGTACAGAAACTGGTTTACTTTGATAACAAATATAAAATAAATGAACATTCTGAGAGTTCCACATTTGACTGGTTTCTACTGTAGATGGACCTTATTCATGATTGACATCAGAGATAATGATATCCAGAGTTAGTGTAAGTTACAAATATATTACTGAATATAAATCATCTGCGTGTTTTGGATTTCCCCGAGTCATGACTAAGAGTGTGATTTTTGAGGCAAACTGCAGCGATCTTCCACTATGTATCTTTATCAGCTGAGCAGTAAAATCCTCAGCCAAGCTACATTTAAAAGAAAGTCAAACGCATAATAAGAACGTGTGTGTGTGTGTATTACAGGAGTGTGAGAAGGACCCCTGCTGTGAGTATCAGACGTGTAAACTGAAGTCTGGAGCTCAGTGTGCGTACGGAGAGTGCTGCTACAAATGTCAGGTACACAACCAGTGGGCACACACATCTGAAATGCAAGTCACTCGTAATTGTTAGATGATATTTATGGAAATGTGTTGAAAATGTTTTAGTACAGGAAATTGCTCCTGCACACCAGATTCTCCAACTACAACAAACAAACAACACAACTAAATAATACATATGATATACGTTGTTGACAATATTTTATATCATTAGCTAGAATCATTTTTTTAAAGAAGCTTGCACTACATTTGCATTATTATCTCCAGAAGATTTATTAAAGATAACCTGAAAGAGTTGATGTAAACAATAAAACCACAGTATTCATATTAAATTTAATGTAAATAAAAACAGCAAGAAAATAAATAATTACCATTAAATTACATAAATCAATATATAGCTCCAACTTTAAGTGTTGACACTTTTTTTGTCATTTTACTTTGTCAAACCTTAGGTAAGATTCATTTTGCAACCATCATTTGACTCCTCAAAGCCTTGGTTAATACTATATAATAATACAATGTGTGTATGTGCGTGTGTATGTGGGCGGCTGTGGCTCAGTGGATGGTGTGCTGGACTTAGAATTAGGGGGTAGCAAGTTCGAGTCCCACTGCAGTCTATGTCGTTGTGTCCCTGGGCAAGACACATCACCCCAAATTGCTCCTGTGGGGGTTGTCCACAGTACTGAATGTCTGTTAGTCGCTTTGGATAAATGCGTCTAACAAATGACATGTAATGTATGTTTAGTATCTACCTGGTGGAAGTGAGTGTCGGTCCAGCACAGATGTGTGTGATCTTCCTGAGTACTGTAACGGCTCCTCGTCCCTCTGTAAGAGCGATGTCTTCATCCAGGTGAGACCTCAAATAATTCACCTTGCACCATCTGTCTGTGGATGTGGACAATCATAGTTCATCATGGTTCTGGTCGCGTCTATCGTTTTTCCAACCCAGTTCAGATTCAACCAGGCCCACTTCCACATCAATGTAGCTCTGCATGACTGTGTCATGGACGTATAAAGAGAACTTCGCCGTCCCCATGTCAACAACGCTAAAGTCATATCACGTCTTCTCTAGCTTGGGACAAACGATATGGGCTGTTAAACTGTCAGAGTAAGGGAAAACCTTCCAGCGGTCTGCAGCAAGAGGAATATTTGTTATCGTCTGACAGTGTTGGAGGATACCAAAGTACATTTACTCAAATACTGTACTCATGTACAAATCTTGTACAAAATACCAGCTATTAAGCTACATATTGCTTTCTAGTTCATTATTTTTAACTCCTTTCTCTTTTTTTTTGGGAGGGGTGCCTAAGTTTATTACATATTATCAAATGCAATAATTATATGTATACGACAGTGCCATAGCTAAATGTGTTAGGTCTAAAGGTGTGTTTTGCTCCTCTCACCGGTCCCTCACAGCGGGCAGAGCTGCAGGTGCTGATCTCTCTCTCACGTCCGGTTATACTTCACTCGTGTTTATGTCCAAATCCATCAGATCTAGCTAGTTCTAGCAAATGATATGACTGCTGCCCCTCCCTACACGCAGATCACGCAGACTCAAACCTCAGCTTATGCCCAAATTCCAGCTGAGAGGGTCTTCTCTACAGCTGGCCTGATTGTGAATCGCCTCCGCACCCGCCTCTCCCCTGAGCATAGGCCCTGTTATAGGTTGTTGATCTCTGTTGTGATAGGGTTACGTTACCCTAACCCGTTATGTTGCTCGTGTATGATCCCTCTTTCATTTAAAAACCAAGTTATGTTTTAAGCATGAAAGCTGTAGGCCTATAGCTGTCAACTGTTCAAACTGTGATCACCAGTTCAATACATTTGACAAATCCGACTTTTCTATACTTATTTGAACATGTATTTATTTTTCAAAATTAAATGTTCTTTTTTTTTTTTTAAATGTTCCCACATTTTTTTAAATTTTTTATAGGATGTACATTTCGGTTAATCGGTTAACCGTTTTTTTGGGGGTCGAATATTCGAATATACATTTGCTTTCAAATTCCCATCCCTACTTCAAATTCATATTTTGTGATGAAAACTCCAAGACTGACGCTCTGACGCAGTCACGCAGAGCTACGTTGATCCGGAAGTGGGCGTGGTTACATCTGAACTGAGTTGGAAAAACGACAGACCTGTCTGGTCATATTTTCTGGTATTGTGTTTCTATTCAGACTTCCTGAAAGGAAGTACAACAATCATCTCAAAAAGCATTGGTTTTAGTATCAGTTTACCATTCTCATCCTTTTATCTTGAATTCCATACAAGCTAATAATAATAATAACAACAGTTTTTATTATTATGCTTTAAACATTAAATGTAGTTGAAATTGTTTCCAGTGTAGCATTAAAAACAAAACACAATTGATGAATAAATGAAGAAAATGTAATGAAATGGCAGAGAATTAAGAGTAGAAAGAATAGTAGTAGAAAGTGTTTTATCAATAGTCTTGTTGAAAAATGTGTGAATAATGTCAGGAAAATATCTGAAGAATAGATTAAAACAATTTTCAAAAAATCCTCGGAACTTATTTGAAAATGTTGAAAAAATATGTGAAATTGTCAGATGTCTATTATATTAGGCAAACTTGCCTTGCTTTACGGATCATCTATTCACCTTTTGCCTCATTATATGAAAAATATTAATTAATAAAAGTAAAAAGAATAAACAATATTGCTGAAGCTTTTCTTTGTGTTCCAGAACGGGCAGCCGTGCAGGAGCCAGCAGGCGTACTGTTACAATGGGAAGTGTCAGCACTACGACGGACAGTGCCAGGCCATATTTGGATCCAGTATGTCCTGCTGCCTCTTCATACGTACATTACAGAGCATGTAGTACAGTTGGAGAGAAACAAATCAGAATTTAAGCCATGTGAATTAACACAGTTGACAAATTGAATAGGCAACAATATGAGGTGCATGTTTTTTGTTGTTAAAAGGTATTTTAAAAACCTATAGGTGGAATCAAACTGTTCAAATCTGCTTGCTGTGTTAATTCAGAAGTGTATTCAAAGCCACTTCTCCCTTTTCCCCCTGCCCTATCTAATTCCTCTTTGTCCTCCTCTACACTTTCCATCTTTTCTCCTCCTTCTCCTCTTCCTCCTCTCTCCTCCTCAGAGGCAAAGGCTGCTCCTGAGATCTGTTTTAAAGATGTTAACAGTAAAGGGGATCGCTTTGGCAACTGTGGCTACCACAACTACGGCTACAAGAAGTGTGAGAGCAGGTAAAACACACATTCACGTACACATTACGTTGTTTTACTGAGTTCCAGACCAAACATTTGGGTCCAGAGTGAGACATCTTATATTGGTCAATCTTTGTTCTTGCCTGTCCTGTACTGTTCTCATTTTACAAGCTCAGTTTGGGTGACCTGAAAACCAATAGTGGAAGAGGTGCTCATATCTTTAACTTCAGTAAAAGTAGTACAACTGCTGAGTCAAAAAAAATCTGTTACAGGTAAAAGTCTTTCAAACTCGGTTTTAAAGAGGACCTATTCTGCTTCGTGGGGTTTTTCCTGTAGTGTGTTATTTATTTATATATACAATGCATGTAAATGGTCTGCAAAGGCTGAAATCCCTGTATTCCCTCCAGAGGGAGTTTCTCTCCCACACATACCCCTCCTGCTTAAATCGCCTCCATTGGACTCCTTTGTTTACTCTGTAACAATGTAACATAATGACATCACTATGTAACACTCACGCTTCTATTAGCTAGTGCTCCAGCAGATTATACGTGCTAAGGGGTGGGACATCTCTAATCTGTTGACCAATCACAACAGAGCTGGCCAGCTAACCAATCAGAGCAGACTGGGCTCTGGGCTTTCATAGAAAAAGGTCAAGGTCTCTGTGACCTCACAACAGATGACCTTAAGACCATCATTTAGGAATTCACATGCTATTTCTGATCATTTCCCAAAAATAATAAAAGATATTATGCTGAACTGATGATGACGTGTTTTGCCTCTGTCTCCATAGAAACGCCCTGTGTGGGAAGCTGCAGTGCTCCAACGTTCAGGCGGTGACGGTGTTCGGCATCGAGCCGTCCATCATCACCTCGCCTATCGGGAGCGGAGGAGCCAAATGTTACGGAGTCGACTTCATGCTGGGGTCAGACGTGCCCGATCCAGGCATGGTGAACGAGGGGAGCAAGTGTGGAGATAACAAGGTGAGGAGGAGAGGGAGGGGTCAGGGGAATGGAGGAGGAGGAGGAGGAGGAGGAGGAGGAGAAGAGTTGAGACAACAAGGTGAGGATGAGGGGAATAATGAAGGAGGAGAGATGTTGACGCTTGTTTCTTCTTCTGTGGTGTTAAGGTCTGCATGAACTTTGAGTGTTGCGGCGTGGAAGTCCTGAACTACGACTGTGACGTGGAGAAGAAGTGTCACGGACACGGGGTGAGACATGTCCTCCTGCCTGTCGCCTGCCTCGCACTGCAGCTGTCATCTATAGCCTCATAGTGACAACACTCAATTCTAAATCATCATAATGTTTTTTTCATTAACGCTTTATATCATAGTTGCAAGCTCAAAAGTGGTTTGGAATTAACTTTAGAATGAACACAGCAAGCAGACTTAAACAGTTTGATTCCACCTATAGGTTTTTTTTAAATATAGTCTAGTAACCAGCTCCAAGAGTCCTATTGTGAACCCGGAAATGTTGAGTACCCCAAAGTTTAATGTTAAAAATGTATAGTAGGGGTCCCCAACTCATAGTAACTGCCGGATGCTAACTTGCGTTAATTAGCTATGTGTGACCCGCTCTATCGAAATCAGTCGGAAGTCGTAACGGCTCATTTCAAAATAAACGTGGATTTGTGTAAAAAAATAGTTTTTCGGGGTTCGGGTGTTTTGTTTGATTTTAAACAAACAAAGTCTTGGCTTTCAGAATATGAAAGTTTTATTTTCAAAATCACACGATAAATACATGTTTGAAGCTTGTAAAGGGAAGATGACAGCTCTCACTCGCCACTCTGCCGTTTCGCAGCGCTGCTCCCCCTCCCTCCAGCTGAAATTATGAATGTAAGGCGTATAGTAATCATAGATAACACGGCAAGGTCCGTTACAGTTTGTTTTCATCTGATTTCAAATAAACAAAGTCTTGGCTTTCAGAATATTAAACTTGTTTCGGCAAATTCAGATGATAAATACAACTTTGAAGCTTGTAACGGCATAATTACAAGCGGAGAACGGAGTAACTTGACGTCACAGCAGGCATAACAACAGCCGGTGTTTCTCGTGAGTGTTTTCCCCGGGAAACAAACAATACACACAAACGCAAAATTACACAAACACACACACACGTATACACACACACACACGCGAGCTTCCCCCAGAGCAGTAATCCAAACGAAAATATCTTCCCTCCGTAGTATTTTGATCATTTGCTCCGCTAATAATCAATCAGATCGATGGATTCCAGAGAAGAGGAAACTTTAAAGGCCTTTTTCTCAAAATGATGACTCGGTGACAGTCATTATATAATGTGACATATTTCGCTTAGTATTTGGAGTACAAAAACAATCCTGATATCATTAGAAAGCTAGGAATCTCCTCTTTCCAACAGTGTATACAACTCAAAATGTGTCTTTGGGTCAATGCGACTGATTTTGATAGAGCAGGTCACATATGAGGTACACATTAGTCGCGTTCACACCGGAGTACTTTTCCCCGTACTTTTCCCCTTTAGTTCCGTTAGTACCCCTTATGTTGCGTTCACACCAAAAAGAGTACTTAGTGCCGGGAACTTTTACCCCCATTTTTAGTGCCTGCTAGAGAGGTGGTACTATCCTGGGGGGAAAAAGTGCCCCAGTTCTGATTGGCTGGGCGAATTGCAAACCACGCCCCGTAAAACTCTGAAAAGTTTTGTGAAGCCGCCATTGTATTTGTTGCATTAGCATTATTAGCATTAGCCCCGCGCACCAACGGACAGAGACTAACTTATGGCAACACAAAAAAAAACATGGGAGCGGTGGAGATGAGGAGGTGTCGGCGTTCTGGCGATTTACTCTGAAGGCTTCAGTAGAAGCTGCTGGGAGTCCCAGCAGCTTCTACTGAAGCCAGTCCCTAACTCCGGGGACTTCCGGCCGGGGACTTCGGGTGGCAGTATACGCCGTGAAGTTGTTTGCGGCCTGCCAGTAAACCCAAAGCAGAAGAAGACGAAGTGACGTCAGCGGCTCATTTGCGTAATCTTCCCTCAGGGAAAAGTACTCCGGTGTGAACGCGATTGGTACTTAGTGCCCTGGGGTAATAAGTGCCGGGGCACTAAGTGCCAGCACTAAGTACTGCAAAGTACGCGGTGTGAACGCGGCTATTATTACGATGATTATAATAAAGTGTCACCTACCCAAAGTATATTGTATTATTTTTCTTGTTTCCGTGCTGCCTTATATTTTTGAAGTCCAAAAATGTATTTATAATTTCTAAATTCACAGCATATCTTCACCTAACAAAATAGTCTATCAATATTCGTTGGAGTTTACTCTTTCACAAACTTGTCAGATATGATGACAGACATTTATGCTCCATTCCAAATCCACTAAAGAAGCCTTGAATGCAAAAAAAGGACATTCTCTAAATGGACTATAGTTTTTTTCGACCACTCAAGCCAATTTACAACACAAGCCAGCATTCATCCATTCGTGCATGTGGCTGCGATACTACATGCTCCTCAGGAACGTAAACCTACAGTCACACACTAACCTCTCTCCCTCTGTGTGTGTGTCAGGTGTGTAACAGTAACAAGAACTGTCACTGTGACGACGGCTGGGCTGCACCGTTCTGTGAGCTCAAAGGTTATGGAGGCAGCACGGACAGCGGACCCACCTGGAATGGTAACTTCATGTTGAAGCTTACTGTTAGAGCCAGTCTTTTGTTTTGTAATCAGGGCCTAATATTGTCACCTAATCGTGACCTCTGTAGTCAAGAAAGTATAAAAGACTACAATTCTAAAGAGACACAGAGATGGGCAACCTGTGTGAAAGACGCCGCCTAGACACAGGTTTTAACCGTAAGATGTCGTTAAGTTATATTATTATATACCTACACAAAGAAAGAAAGACGATCTTATTTTTTTATTCTTTTATTTGAGTTTTCCCTCTTGATTAGATTCTTTTGACTATTTTAAAGGCCTATTTTTCTTTGTTGAATTTTAATTAAACACAAGTCGCACAATCTCAACACATCATCGGAAGGCAAACTAGTCATCACAACTTTAGATAAAAAGAAATAAAGGAAAGATAACTGTCTGTTTAAGGCGTTTAAGTGGCTTGATAGAAACAAAGGAAGGAAGCAGCGACACTTACTAATGAAACCTATAACAATTTCAAATGATGATGAAATTATACCATACAAAGACCTACAATAAGACAAGACATACAGAAAATCCCAAAACAAACACGTAAGCAACAACAAACATCTGTTCATTTTTACATCAGGCTAAAAGAAGCAGAGACTCACCTTTTATACTTCAATAGATGGGGCGGTATTGCTCAGTCTGTAGGGACTTGGCCTTGGAGCCGAGGTGCCAGTTCACCTCCTGGGCACTGCCCAATTGGAGGTTGAATTCAAGCTACCTCTTAGGAGTTTGTATCTTTTGAACATTTTGGCTGATACTAGCCACTGATCCCACCGCACATCACTGGTTTAATCCCAGTACGGAGTAATGTGGATTTAGAGGTATATTTATCCCAAATATTGTCTCAATCAAAATCTACCTCCTAAACCTAACCCTAATAGGATTTGTTAGAACATGTCATTTTCTTTGATGATAGAATAAATGTTAAGAGACTTTTGGACATCAATATTACTTAGAGAGGACATGTTCTGCTCCTGTTCAGGTTCATATCAGTATGTAGTGTCTCTACTGTGACATGTCTCCATGCTTTAATGTTCAAAAAGCTCTTTATTTTTCTCATACTGCCTGTGCTGCAGCACCTCTTTTCACCCTCTGTCTGAAACCAGAGCCCAGTCTGCTCGGATTGGTTAGCTGGCCGGCTCTGTTGTGATTGGTCAACTGTTTAGAGATGTCCCGCCCCATAGCCTATCAAATACAATGTGTTGGAGCGCTAGCCGATAGAAGCGCAAGTGTTACATAGTGATAGTCCAATGGAGGTGTTTCAGGCAAGGGGGGGAGTGTGTGGGAGAGAAACTCCCTCTGGAGGGAACTTTGGGATTTTAGTCCTTGCAGAACATTTACATGCACTAAAACCTATAGAACACACTAGAGGGAAGGAAAAACCCCCCAAAAAACAAAATAGGGCCCCTTTAACTTCTAAACCTATCCGTCTGACTTGCTCTGTCCTCCTCAAGGTTGTTATAACCTGTGTCTGTGATTGCTCCTCAGATAAAGACACGTCAGTCAGAGACGGCCTGCTGGTCTTCTTCTTCCTCGTCCTTCCTCTCCTTGCTCTGGGTGCTTTTGTTTTCCTGCGCAGGAACGAGCTGCTGCGACGATTCGGGCTGAGCCGCAGGAAGAGGTCGCAGGGATACCAGTGAGTCTGAACAACCACACACACACACACACACACACACACACACACACACACACACACACACACACACACACACACACACACACACACACACACACACACACACACACACACACACACACATCACAATGTTGATATGTTATGATACATGGTGTTTGATTCTGGAATGGAGAGTCTGGATCATGGATGACGATCAGATATCAGAATATCACAAATAATGCCTCTCTACAGAGCGAAGCAGGGTTGTATGCAGGGTTATGGTGTCAGTATCCTGATTCAAGACAAGAAAAAAAAACATGCTGAAATTTGGCAGATATTTTGTATATAAGCAGAAAGGACTTGAGTCATAGCATATTAGTGCTACTGAATTTCAACTAGAAGCAGCAGTACCCGCCGCCACTGTTTAATTACTCACTATGGATGAATAGAAACATCCTTCTCAGCAGGTGTGATTTTGTTCTGACAGGAAGTCTTACTTGAATTGTCCAGTATTGAGTCTTTGATACGGTTGACCACAACATATTGCTAGACCGTCTAGAAAACTGGGTGGGAGTTTCAGCAACAGCTCTAAATTGGTTTAGTTCCTACTTGAAGGACAGAACAAACTTTTTCTCAATAGGCAATTACGAATCAACCCTGATAAATATGTCATGCGGGGTTCCTCAAGGCTCCATCTTAGGACCTTTGCTTTTTAATATCTATATGCTACCTCTGGCTGAAATTATTAAAAAGAGCGATCTAAGCTATCACATCTATGCAGACGACACCCAGATTTATTTTTAAATTACACCGGGAGACTACTCCCCGATTAGAACACTGAGCAAGTGCATTGAGCACATCACTGACTGGATGACTCAGAACCTTCTCCAATTGAACAAGCAAAAAACTGAGATCATTGTTTTTGGAGCAAAGAAAGACCGATTCAAAGTAATCGCAGGGCTTCAGTCGGCAGACTATAAAGTAACTCACAAAGCAAGAAATCTGGGTGTAGTGATGGACTCAGACCTGAATTTTAACAGTCACATTACAACAGTCATTAGGTCTGCATACTACCACCTGAAGAATATATCAAGGATTAAAAAACTAATGTCGCAACAGGATTTAGAAAAACTTGTCCACGCTTTTATCTTCAGTAGACTCGACTACTGCAATAGTGTATTCACAGGGCTCACTAAAAAATCCATCAGAAAGCTGCAGCTGAATCAGAACGCTGCTGCTCGAGTACTCACTAACATTAAAAGAGTGGATCACATCAGTCCGGTTCTGAAGTCTTTACACTGGCTTCCAGTCGACCAAAGAATTGATTTTAAAATACTACTGCTAGTTTTTAAATCACTAAATGGCTTAGGACCGAGGTATATAAACGATCTCCTGCATAACTATGAACCATCCAGGAGTCTCAGGTCTTCTGGGTCGGGTCTGCTCTCTGTTCCAAGAATAAGAACTAAACATGGAAAAGCAGCGTTTAGCTATTATGCCCCTACAATCTGGAACAAATTGCCCGAATCGTGCACGTCCGCTGAAACACTTCCTATTTTCAAATCCAGACTAAAAACATATCTATTTCCCGCTGCTTTTAATTGAGCTGTTCATACTCACACTGCAGTATGCCTTTCATTCATGTATTCTGTACCTGCTGTGTTTATTTATTTATTTCATTATCTTTGCTTTTTTATGCCTGTTTTTAAATGCCATTTAATAATGTGTTTATGCTGTATTTATTCTTAAATGTCTTTTGTTTTTATTTTGTAAAGCACTTTGAATTGTCGCGTGCTGAAAGGTGCTATATAAATCAAATTGCCTTGCCTTGAGTCTGTAACTGAACTCCTTTTCGGAGGATGACTCAGCTGTTGCTATTATCAGTTCAGTGACAGCTACTTTCCTCTGTGCTGCATTCAGGGGCACTCTGACATGTGCTCTGAAACTGTCCTGTATGCTACGTTAAATGGCACTCTGATATTTATTTTAAAACTATTCTATGTGCTGCATTAAAAAAACTGCCCATTAAATATACATTATAGTCTTTTTTTTCTCTTTTCTTTTCATAATTTATTTTTGTTATTGTTTATTTATTCAATTTTACTCCCCATATATTATTGTACATTTTCTGCTTAAAAATAAATAAAACTCCCCCTTATGTCTAGTTCAATGACACTCTGACAACTGCATTTCAACTGTCCTCTGTTCTGCTTTCAAGGACCCTCTCACAACTGCATTAAAAGTGCCCTCTGTGCAGTGTTCATGGACACTGTCAATCACTCTAAAACATTTTCTGTGCTATTTTCAATGACACTCCAACAACTGCTCTAAAACTGTCCTCTGTGCTGCGTTCAATGACACTAACAACTGCTCTAAAGCTGTCCTCTGTGCTGCGTTCAATGACACTAACAACTGCTCTAAAACTGTCCTCTGTGCTGCGTTCAATGAACCTCTTAACAACTGCTCTAAAGCTGTCCTCTGTGCTGCGTTCAATGAACCTCTTAACAACTGCTCTAAAGCTGTCCTCTGTGCTGCGTTCAATGAACCTCTTAACAACTGCTCTAAAGCTGTCCTCTGTGCTGCGTTCAATGAACCTCTTAACAACTGCTCTAAAGCTGTCCTCTGTGCTGCGTTCAATGAACCACTTAACAACTGCTCTAAAGCTGTCCTCTGTGCTGCGTTCAATGAACCTCTTAACAACTGCTCTAAAGCTGTCCTCTGTGCTGCGTTTAATGACACTCCAACAACTGCTCTAAAGCTGTCCTCTGTGCCGCGTTCAATGACACTCTAACAACTGCTCTAAAGCTGTCCTCTGTGCCGCGTTCAATGACACTCTAACAACCGCTCTAAAGCTGTCCTCTGTGCTGCGTTTAATGACACTCCAACAACTGCTCTAAAGCTGTCCTCTGTGCCGCGTTCAATGACACTCCAACAACTGCTCTAAAGCTGTCCTCTGTGCCGCGTTCAATGACACTCTAACAACCGCTCTAAAGCTGTCCTCTGTGCCGCGTTCAATGAACCTCTTAACTGCTCTAAAACTGTCCTCTGTGCCGCGTTCAATGACACTCCAACAACTGCTCTAAAGCTGTCCTCTGTGCCGCGTTCAATGAACCTCTTAACTGCTCTAAAACTGTCCTCTGTGCCGCGTTCAATGAACCTCTAACAACTGCTCTAAAGCTGTCCTCTGTGCCGCGTTCAATGAACCTCTTAACTGCTCTAAAACTGTCCTCTGTGCCGCGTTCAATGAACCTCTTAACTGCTCTAAAACTGTCCTCTGTGCCGCGTTCAATGAACCTCTAACAACTGCTCTAAAGCTGTCCTCTGTGCCGCGTTCAATGAACCTCTTAACTGCTCTAAAACTGTCCTCTGTGCCGCGTTCAATGAACCTCTAACAACTGCTCTAAAACTGTCCTCTGTGCCGCGTTCAATGACACTCTAACAACTGCTCTAAAGCTGTCCTCTGTGCCGCGTTCAATGACACTCTAACAACCGCTCTAAAGCTGTCCTCTGTGCCGCGTTCAATGAACCTCTTAACTGCTCTAAAACTGTCCTCTGTGCCGCGTTCAATGACACTCCAACAACTGCTCTAAAGCTGTCCTCTGTGCCGCGTTCAATGACACTCCAACAACTGCTCTATCAATCAATCAATCAATGTTTATTTATATAGCCCAATATCACAAATGTTTATAGCCCAAAATCACAGTTTGTACAGAATATCAGTATGACAATACGACACCCTCTGTCCTTAGACCATCACATCGTACAAGGAAACACTTCCAGAGAAACCCCAGTTTAAAGGGGAACATGGGAGAAACCTCAGGGAGAGCAACAGAGAGATCCCTCTCCCAGGACGGACAGACGTGCAATAGATGCCGTGTGTAAATCGAAGAGATAATACATTTTACAGCATAGGTAGACCAAATGTTTGGAAATGGAGGTTGAGAGAAAAGGGTAGGAATTAAGATGTATGCGCCACATCTATACCATGAGCGCATTGCTCCTAAAAGGTTTTTTGGCACTGACACCAATCAACAGTTGTGCGTCGACTCGGCAGGGATCAAGGCACGTATATGCCTCTCCCTGCTTCCACCGTCTACACACAACCAAATTACATCTATACCATGAGCGCATTGTCTAAAGCTGTCCTCTGTGCCATGTTCAATGACACTCTAACAACTGCTCTAAAACTGTCCTCTATGCTGCGTTCAATGGCACTCAGAAAACTGCTCTAAAACAGTCCTCTGTGGCTCTCACATTTAACAAACGCTTGACATCCTGTGATGTCACTATGTGTGAAAGCCTTGTAACTGAGTTTATCTCACTTCCTGACTTCAGGGCTGATGGCGCTGCAGCTTCAACCAATCCCAGCAGACCGCCTCCCCCTACATCTGTTACCAGGGGCAACGCCAACAACATCGTGAGAGACGGGGTGAGTTGACCTTGAACAGCATGTACTGTAGAAGCTGAGTGTGTGAAACTGCTGCAGAAAAAGACCTCTAGTCGGTTTTTTTAACATCAGAAATTGTCTCTATGTGCCCTAAGGCTTTGCAGGGGAAAATACCTGCAATCTTCCTTCATGATATGCATCCATTCGTATTTTAATTAATTCAAATCCATTTTAGAGTCAGTTTTCACCTCCTTTATAAAGAAGTCCTGTATTTGTAAGATACTTAAAATATTTTTGACTGCTTGACTTCAACAATTCACAATACAGTAGTCTGTGTGGTAATCCCCTTTTTCTTACTTACTGTACTGTATGTAGCTTTTGCATATTATACACACATATATTTAAGCGCTTTGAGCACCAGGAAAAGCGCTTTATAAATGTAATGTATTATTATTATTATTATTATTATATATATATATATTATATACATTTGTTTGTTTTTTCAAACTTTAGTTTTTATTGAGTTAAGTTTGTACATAATGGAGAGACAAAACAGAAAAATCACATTGTACTTATGGCTTTTCTTGGCTTATAACAATGATAGTAAACACAAGTACAAGATCAAAAATAAAATACAATGAAATAAATCAAATAAACATCAAACTGAAATTCAACAGTCATGGTTACAATTGGCATACAGATATATTGAGTAGTCTCATGAAAAGCATCTGCATATGCCCTAGCCTTTTTCCACAGTGTCATAATTGATCCATTTCTTCCATTTACTCTCAAAAATATTGACTCTCATTCTAAGTTGGTAAGTCATTTTTTCCATGATATATACCTCTCTTATAATATCCATCCACTGGTCTTTTGTGGGGGGCTCAGCCTTACACCAATTTCTGGTTATTGCTTTCTTGCTTGTTATTAACAGTATCTTAGTTATATATCTATCAGTAATTAGGAGATTTTTTTTGAGACACAACTCGAGGCCTACATTTGTCAAATCTTTCATTACCTATTGGGAAACAATTATATTATTTCCTCAATTAGTGCACGCCTATAGACGGAATGATCCATATATATGAGTGAAAACAGGACCTTCGGTGTCCATAGTTACCACAGTGTAAATAGAAAATATTTGTTCTATGTTATTTGTCTTTTTTAATTATTTGGTGTTAGTTAAATCAGTTCATGAAGTAAATGCTGATAAATTAAGAATTGTTTAGAAAATAGCTGGCATAAAAACATGCATATCCTGTAAAACTGTAGAGTAAGTAGTCAATTCATAGATTACTACCCGCTGTTCTCTCTCATCTTTCTCCAATATACTGCCTCCCTAAATCTAATCATCCATCAGTGACCCCTCGGCCCGTTTGAATTTCTTAACAGCTGCTTTCTCTTTGTTGTCTGTTTTGATCAGAACTCAGATCTTTGACTTAAGTAAACAATACTATATCGTAAATATACTCTGTAGCATTAAGAGTCCTCCTTTTCAGAATCAGAAAACCTTTAATGGGACATGTATACTGTAACAGCAAAAGTGAAGATAGAGACAAAAAAATAAAACACTATTTGAAAGGGCATGCCCATAATGTTTACACTTGCCAAAAAAAAGTATTACATTTACAAGTTACCTCATAAGTTTGCAATTCACATATGGCACAGCAGTGGTGTCGTAGTCTATGTTTGTTTTTGTGTTTTTACATCATTGCACATAGTCTCTATTGTTGTGTGTGTGTGGGGGTCTACCAGGGGCCGCGGTGGTTTTAAAATCCTACCGGTGCAGAAAGGAAGGACCTGTGGTATCACTCCGTAAATCTTACTTACGTAAAAGAACAAAGTATTGACCTCAGAATACTAAAATTACCAAAAGGAAAAGTACTTGTTGTGCATAATGACGGTGGCCGACCCGTGCAAATGCGCCACAACAGCCCAACACACTAACACAGTAGGGTGTGTGTGTGTGTGTGTGTGTGTGTGTGTGTGTGTGTGTGTGTGTGTGTGTGTGTGTGTGTGTGTGTGTGTGTGTGTGTGTGTGTGTGTGTGTGTGGTGTGTGTGTGTGTGTGTGTGTGTGTGTGTGTGTGTGTGTGTGTGTGTGTGTGTGTGTGTGTGTGTGTGTGTGTGTGTGTGTGTGTGTGTGTGTGTGTGTGTGTGTGTGTGTGTGTGTGGGGGGGGGTGGGGGGGTGGGGGTGGGTGTGTGTGTGGGGGGGTGGTGGGGGTGGGTGTGTGGGTGTGTGTGATAACAACTAACTACAATGAATGAGTCCTAACATCCTCTGCTCTCTCTCCATGTGAAGCACCACGCTCAGCTACTGCCACCGCAGGAGGTAAAATACTGTTACTGTAATACTGCTACTGTGATACTACTGCTGTGATACTACTGTGATACTACTGTGATACTACTGCTGTGATACTACTGCTGTGATACTACTGCTACTGTGATACTACTGCTACTGTGATCCTGCTACTAAATACTGCTTGCTGATGCTTTTTGGGAACATTCTTGGTTGTTAAAAAAAGCTTTTTACATTCTGCGTGGTTGTCTTGGTGAAATGGTGGTGGTGAAACAATAACTCAAATGTTCTATTCGTATACTAGCAGTAATACCACAGTGTATAAATGATCTGTAGTAGTTGTAGTATATTGTTTAACCAAGTTTTTATTTATTATTTGACTGACATCAGCTCAATCTGCTTTTCTGTTTCATTTAAAAATTAACTGAATATTAAAGGTTTTGGACTTCATTTGTTTATCACTTTAATGTTTCAGCTGATAAAGTCAGAGCTCATTTGAATAACTATAAGTACTGCTTCCTCTATAATAATATATCGCTTAATTAAAATTATAATGAGGAAGATATTCAAACTAATAAGAAATGTTCTTTTGTGTGTTTGTGTGATCATCAGGTGGTAGAGACCAGCAAGACGGCTCCCTCCTACTCTGTGAGGCCTCCTCCTCCTCCTATGTAAGCACAAAAATAAGCTTTTTTTAAAGAAACTACTTGTTGAAAAGTGCTTTTTAACCGATTTCAATCAGAAACTTCCAACATAAGTGTGCAGGCTCATTATAACCCATAATCGCTAACCCATTCATTTTAATTTTTAGTAAAACCTTTTTCCTCTGAAATATATCTCTGAGAGTCCTTAAACCCAGAAATGAGTTGGCAATTTACCACTTCAATTCCCTTTTCGAGAAGTCAACATGTTTTAAACATGTTATGGTTAAAAGTGTTTTATGTTTTGTTCTACGACAAAAAATACGTCAGTTAACACCCCGCTCATGTCTGAAGCTCCTATGTGTGTCTAAGGAAACAGCGGTTGCCAACAAGAGCCTAAATTCGACCTCTAAACGTCAGCCCGCCGAACATTATCTGCCTTTATCTTAGCGGTGGTGACCTGAAGTCATGTGACCGTGACGTAGTTCCCTCATAGTCTAACGTTAACTTTTACTTCTGGCAATTGCATTTATGCTTCAAAAGTCCTAAAAGTTGTGTTAATATGTGGAGATTATCCTGCTGAACCAAACATGCAAGTATCATAAACGTTTGTTGGCAAAATATTTTATTATCTGCAATCGAAAAATCGAAATCCAATGGAAATGTCCCATCACTTTGTTGTCGAGGCACCTCTTGCAAAACAAATGTCAGGGTTGGCCCACAAAAAGACATCATCACTGCACCACCTTTAAGCACCAATCTTTGGTATAACATGTTGTTGAAACATTGTGGTTCTTGTCGCAGTTATTATTGTTCTCTTTTGACTTTTTCTATTTGCTCTCCCAGAAAACCGAAACCTTGTGCTGCATCTCAGCCTCTGGTGCCTCACAGACCCGCCCCAGCTCCACCTGTGTAACCAATCAAGGGGCCCTGCCAACCACACCTAGATGAACCCCCTCTTGTACTCAAAGCTGGTTACTGAGCAGCCAAGAATATAATCTGGAGCCAAGTTGGAGGACAGCTGGCTCCAGACAACAAACTGGACCTGAAACTGGAACATACCAGAATGGAACTGATGCAGCCACTGTTCTCAACGGACTGTCCTTCCTTCTTCCTTTCTCTCCCTTTCTTTCTTTCTTGAAGTCTGGAGACAAAACTCAGCCAATCAGGTGACACGTTGTATGTCACCAAACCAGCCAATCATATCTCAAGAACAGCTACCTGTGATATCAACAAATCAATTACTAGAAATTCTTATTATTACCCAATATAAACTGTATTAATCCCCATCCATTGTGTATTCCTGCTGTAGAGTGCTGCAGAAATGAGTCCTACATTTGTGAAATTTGTTTTTGCACTTCCGCTTCTCTCGTCTCGAGGTCAATGGGTTTTTTGAAAAGGTTTTTGTTTAGCTGCCTGAGATAAGGTCTTTGGTTAACACAAGTCAGAAAAGACCCCTCCCTTCACACCAAGCACTGTGCTGCTTTTAAGTTAGTGGTGGTGTTCTAAAGTCATGCAACCATTGTGTGCTTAGTTTGTAGCCTTTTTGACTTCTTTTAATTGCATTACCATTAAAAAAAAAAGTATAAATGTTTTAAGATAAAATGTGCTATAGAACTTAATTTCTGCAAAACATCATAATCATAGTGAAGTTGAAAAAACCCAATTACCATTTTGTCAAAAGTAAGCAGCAAACTTGGATTGGCCTACAATAATAGTTCCTTCTATAAAACAAGATCTGGATACAGTGCCGCTCAGACTTGCTTCCAATTTGTCCTAATGGCCACTCAATAATGCAGCCAGCTGTCTGTAAAACTGTGGACAGGACACCTCGAACGGATGTTTTTATATATATATGTAAAACTTTCCTCAAGCGGAGAAAAGCGATAAAACAAAATGTGTTAGGTCACCATGAAAGGTTTATGTGATGAATACTTAGGGGTGCAGTGTTGCCAACTTTAACCCTCAGCAATTTCATCTCCAAGAGAAAAATATATTGTATTGTAATTACTAGTAGTCAATGGCTCCTCTGCCAGCAGCACGGGGCCTACGCTAGTAGGCTTAGAGGTTAGGAGCAAGTGCTAGGTAGCAACAATGTTTCCCCAATTTCATGTTACTTGCTAGCAATATAAAAGATTTACGGTATATTTAGCAAGCCCGTTTGATAACTAATGTTAAATAGCTACCAGTACTAGCAAGCTCTCACACTCTTGTGGCTTCCCTGGATTTAGTCCTTATTATTGAACATATTGCCAGATTTACCATCCAAAGGAATATTTAAACAATGGGTCCTTGATTTCAGACAGGAGCAGGTTCTCTTTTTAAAGCAACAATTTTGCAGCTGTCTAGCACGTAGCTAGCTTATTAACATGATCTCCATAATTATATATTTACTTTCTGCCATTTCAACAAGTGCACAAATGCTGTGTGAAATGTAACCACTATAAAGCGCCCTCATTGGGGGAGGAAACCGCTCTGGAGAAATATGTTTATGTTTTTTATTTGTTTAATTGTTTCTTTTAATTGAACAATTGATTCCACTTACCTAGACATGCTTCACTCTGATTGGCTGGTTTTAAAGATGCAGAGCTCACTGGAGGCTGAGCTTACTCTCCTTTCTTTCTGTTTTCTGTCTTTGAATGGAAGCACTGGTGCCATCTGATTGCACTTCCTGCTCAAACACTGTCATAGGAATGTTACGCCCCCCTGCTGCTCTGTGTGGATGCACTTGGTCTCCACCACCTTGCCTGGTACTCTGTCTCTCCAGAATTGTAAAAATCCCAATATGCAACATCTTCTGGGGGCAGAGCTCATCCGGGTTTCACTTCCTCTGATGTGGATCTGGGTCTGTGTGGTACTTGGATGTCTGTGACTTTCTGCAGGTAATGTACGCTCGCTCACCAAGTTTAGTTGAATCACAAAGCAAATCTCCCCATGAAGACCTCAACACTGTTGAATCTGATATCTGTGATGTTCTTTATCTACACTATAGAGGATTTGTTTACTTGAATAGATTAAAAGCGAAACTGACCGATGCATCTGGTCTTCCAGCAGCACCCACAACATCTACGGTGTGTTATAGAGGCATTCATTGTGAATTAGCTCAACAACATAAACACACATTATGCTATTAGATGTCAACAGCCATAAAACATAGTTGTGACTTATAACAAGTGTCTCATGGAGGCACTGTACTAGTATAAAATGATAGGTTTACTCAATAGTCTTAGATCACACTTTGACTTTCTATACTCACTTCAACAATAAACCATAGTAAGGACTCATGGTAAGATATAGTCCATGCTGGTTTACAAGTCATTGTTGGTGTTAAGTAAAGGCAAGTACATGTTGATGCATCAAAAAGAATGCATGCTTCATCATAATGTGTCTTTGTTAGTAAAGCATTTCCATTTCAAAGAATAGATGCTGCATTAAGATTAAGATGACCCTTTATTAATCCCCAGGGGGAATTCACTTTTCCACTCTGTTATTGTATACACACACATTTGAAATACACACATGCATAGTACCTATAGAGATTAGGTCTGAATGCACAAACACTGTACGATCTAATCAGGATCAGCATTCCTTCAGCTCCTAAACCAAGTCCCTACACACTGAGATACTGCCGCCCAGAAATTGGTGTTGTCGGCAGGATTCAAACTTGCAAAGGGACACCCCAATGGATTTCTAGTGCATCGCCTTCACCACTCGTCCACAGCAACACTATTAGTGACACCAAAATGCAGACAATCAAAAGGAAAAGTGTCTGCGGTTGGAATGCAATCTTACAATAATGTCTGGTATGAATTCATAAAGGCATGAGCATCACAGATGAAAGATGACAGTGTTGAGGTGTGTAAAGGTGGAACCGATCTCACAGCTCACCACTGGAACACCCGTGATAAAGTCCTGAAAGAGTCCAGATGTCCTGTCCCCGCCGCCTTTAACACCAACGTCACCTGAATGTGAGAAACAGAACCGTCAGACTCCTGACTGCAGACTGAACATTTAAAAACATTCAGGACCTTTGAGTTTGTCTGGTTGTGTGAACGCTGCGCGGCCCGCATCACAGCCACTCAACGCCGGAGGGTTCATTCCTTTCATTCAAACCAGGGATTGATACACCAACAGGTTACCAAATGTCTGACTGGCTAGCACTTTTAGCCAGCAAATGAACCTGGATGCACTGTGTGAGGAGAACATCACGTTAATATCCGCTTTAGTATACTTTAATTTGCTGTTGTGTGTTTTTGCACAGAGATTGTTGTGAACAAGAGTAAAAGTATAGGGCTAATACTGTGCCATTTCAAAGTTTTCATGCCAAACAATAAATACATATATATGATCTAGGGCTGCCACTAAAGATTATTTTAATTATTGTTTGATCTGAAGATTATTTTTCTTGATAAATCGATTCATTGTTTGGTGTGTTATATACCCGAAATACTGAAAAATATTCATTACAGTTTCTTTGAGTCCAAGAACTCTTTAAATGTCTTTTTGTGAGTCCAAACCCCACACATTTTCAGTTTCATATGTAATAAAACCGAGAAAAGCCATAAATCGATTATCAAAAAGTTTGGCACTTGTTTTTCTAGTTGTCTAATTGAGGCATCAGTTTTTCTGCCAGAAAAGAATTCCTTAGGAATGAGAAAAGTCTCATTACATTACATGTAATTTGTTAGACGCTTTTATCCAAAGCGACTTACATACTCAATACTGTGGGCAATCCCCACAGGAGCAATTTGGGGTGAAGTGTCTTGCCCAGGGACACAACGACATGCTGACTGCAGTGGGACTTGAACTTGCTACCCCCTAATTCGAAGTCCAGCACACTATCCACTGAGCCACAGCCTCCCTTATGGACAAACTGTTCGGTCTGGAGTTATTTAGAGACACTAGAGCAGCTGAGGTTAAAGCTCACGAGCGTCAAGTTACCGTCAGTAAACTGCTGACTGCTCACTGGTCATGGTTGAAACGGTTCTACATGTTTGTTAAAATCAACATATTTGGTGTTCAGACTCAAACCAAAAGTGAATGTATTTCCTTAGTATTGTGAGTGTATCAAAGCCTGATTATCTTACTGCTTTGTGCCAAAGATCCCCAACAACTCCTATTAAGTCATCAGGTTTGCTCACTATTGCACTAATGTAACAAATATGTATAAATCCACCACGAAAAGTAGTCCAGACCAAATGTATTATTTCAACCCTTGATGTGTAATTACAATATTTAATGAAGTTACTATGAATTTGTTTGTAGCCTTTATTTAACCAGGAGAAATCCCATTGAGATCAACGATCTCTTTTTCAAGGGAGACCTGCCGCACGTTGGTTACACATAAAAAACAACAGAAAACAAAAAGGACGTCATACAACATACAGTAATTACAGGGGTACAATTTACAAACCTATTCACAATGACAGGTACCAAGAGTATCAAATAGCATTTCATCCAGCTGTGCTTTAAAATGATGCAGGGGAACCAAAATGCTCAGTTTTAAAAAAAAATGCAGAGTGTTCCAAGCTAGAGGAGCAGCGCACATAAAAGCTTTAGTACCTAAAACAGTCCTAGCGCTTGGCACATGTAATAAAAACCCATCATGTGATCTCAGGCAATAGCTACTTGCCACTCTCTGTGAGATCAGAGAGCAGATATAAGATGGGAGTTTACCCAACATGGCTTTCTATATGAACATGTACCAATGACTGAGCCTCCGTACAGTAAGTGATGGCAGACCTGCCTTGGCATACAGGGTACAGTGATGTGTAAGTGCTTTACAATTAGTAACAAATCTCAGTGCACTGTGATAGGTGGCATCTAACTTGATCAGGCAATGGGCAGGTGCATTCATATATTGGCGCATTTCCACTACAGCGCGGAGCTCGCTTTTAGCGTTTCCACTTGGCCTAGTTCCGGCTAGCGGGTACTATTTCACAGTTTTTCTGGCCCCATAAAATCGAGGTTCTTTCCGGGCTAACAACCAGGCTGAGTCGGGCTGAGTATGCTAAACTAGAGAGAGAATCGCTGGCAAGGGGGCTACAACTACAACAAAATGAACATATTTGACCGTGATTTAATTGTAATACATTCAAAATGATGCCGAAGTAACAACATACTGATACCGGTTAGTAAAAACCATGAATTAATGCTTTGACAAGTCTGCAGACAGACGGAAGGCGAAAAACCTTTTAAAATGCGTGTTTTCTAAATGGAGATCGGCTAAGCTAACGCAGTATATGCTCCGACCGTCCACACTCACAACAACGGCCTATACAGACGTAAATAAACCAGCGACTGTATTCGCCATGACACAGACAGTCTGTGGTTAGTACTTGTTTAACTTTTGTCTAGTTTCTGAACAGATATGAGGAGCTGTGAGCTTGAGTGCTAACAGCTAACGGCTGATGTTGTTTTTCTGTGGTTCTCATTGAAGATGACGTCACGGCTCCGCCTACACTGCGTTACTATAGATACTACCCCAGCTACTAAAATGTAATGGAAACGCAGCATAAAGTGAGCCAGTCCTAACAAGGCCTAACAAGGCCTAGCCATACCGAGCTAGGCCGAGCGAGGCCCTGTAGTGGAAATGCGCCAATAGATCAGATCCCCATAGTCCAGCACAGGTAAAAAGGTCACAGTGACTAGCCTTTTCCTGGCCTCAAGCGAGAAACTTTCAGGGCTGCAACAATTACTATTATCAATATATCTCCCCTTTTTTTCTTCTGCCAATCATCAATTATCTATCAATTATGTCAATAAAATGTAAGATATTATTTTTAAATATTTTACCCGAGTCCTATAATCATCATGAAATGTCTTGTTTGGACTAACAGTCAAACGTGAATGACATCCTGTTTTCTGGTGAACGAAACCAGCAGCAGAACATTTGAGACACTAGAGAAGCTGAACAATGACTACATGATTAAATGATTTACAAAAGAGCTTTAATTAATCATGGACATGTTAAAGCTCTATTTCTTTAGTGAGCTTGCATACAGTATAACTAACATTTAACATAAACTGCAGTGTGCGGCTGCTTTTTTAAATTAAATTATATATTTATCAGTGTTTTCTAACTCTTAACAAAACAAACCAGCTAACACGTTAAAGGTTTGAGTCTGCACATGAGTTTTGTTTGAAAAAATAAAACAAACACAACAAAGACTGGTTGTTTAAATAAAAGATTCTGACCCAATGTGTGAATGATGTGTGTAACGGAATGAAAATAAAACTAAGATCAATTCTGGCCCTAAGTTTAGTGACAGAGATGACTACCAATACAAACAGGGCCTAGCTTTACAGTAACATAACAAATATCCTAGGGGTTACTTCAAAAAAAATCTCTTCTTAAAAAAGACCACGGCCCAATCCCAGTCTCCATGCTAAAGCGTAAGCATTGAACCGTAAAGGCTTGAAGGACATCACCTTGTATGCAGATATAATGCTTGAGTGTGTGATCAGGGACACACTGGGGGTGTTTCTCAATCGCGAGTAAAGCTGCTGCAGAGCCACTATTTCAAGCATACTACGTCATCGAGTGCCGCCGAAGTACTGTTCCAATCTCCAGCATAAATGGAAATCTACCGAGCCCGGCGTAGGCCTACTTCGTTTGGAGAAATTTCGAGGCTGCACATGTGTAGACTCCGCGGTCTTAAAATCCCCACAATGCTTTGCGCACGGACCAATTTCCCCAAATCTGTGGCGGAAAATGTAAGGCGGGGCCTCTCATATGACGCACACCTGCACACTTGCTCGCCTGTTCCACTCTTTGGGTGTTTCTCAATCGCGAGTAAGGCCCAATCCCAAACCACCCCGTGACGGGGTGTTTCTCAATCGCGAGTAAAGCTGCTTCAGAGCCACTATTTCAAGCATACTACGTCATCGAGTGCCGCCGAAGGACTGTTCCAATCTCCAGCATACTTGGAAATCTACAGAGCCCGGCGTCCTCCGTTTGGAGAAATATCGAGGCTGCACATGAGTAGACTCCGCGGTCTTAAAATCCCCACAATGCTTTGCGCACGGACCAATTTCCCCAAATCTGTGGCGGAAGATGTAAGGCGGGGCCTCTCATATGACGCACACCTGCACACTTGCTAGCGTGTTCCACACTTCGTTTTCTGCCAGGAAGTATTCTTGACTCGCTTCTGAAGCAAGATGCTCGGCAGACATGTGCTACCAAGCAAGCGTACTCGCGATTGAGAAACACCCCGTGACGGAGTGAACTCCGTCTGTAGCCACACTCGTAGCTGAATGAAGTTCCCTCCATTAAGGGTTAAGGGTATAAATACAGCGCACCGCAGTGGGACGGCCTCCCCTCTCTCCGGCAGAAACAGGAAATGCCGCAACTGTATGTAACAACGGTTTCAAATCAGCATCTCTTAGACAAAACATTTAAATTAAGAACTCAAATAAAACTCCAAACATCTTTAATTGTGTTACTTTTTCTGTAAAGCTCTTTTAGTTTAAACCTGATTTTTATAAGCTTCTTAGTTTTTGCAGCAATCTGTAAATATACACAACTTTATAATAAAATGCACACATTTACCTTTTTCTAGACTAAACACAGGTATGATCCTAAGTTAAAAAAATATGAGGTTATCATGAGGTTGTTAACATCGCAGTTTATCAGTGGATGTTTGCTGGAACTACTTGTAAACAGCGTGTTTCCTGACGGACACACACAGCGTGACTCCGGTCAGGTAGAGACCGGTCTCCAGTCAGCACCGATGCAGACTCGCTGTTTGAGGGCTTGATAACCCACTCCCCCTCCACACCGCTCCACACTTGTTGGTTTGGAACAGCACTTAATAGCCGCGTTCACACCAAGTACTTTCCTGTACTTAGTTCCGGCACTAAGAGCCCTGGCGCTTTTAACCCCAGGGTACTTAGTACAGATCGCGTTCACACCGGAGTACTTTTCCCTGAGGGAAGATTACAAGTACAGTAGGTGGCGGTAAGCACCTTAAAGTTGTTTGCAACCCGCTACAAAACAAAAGAAGAAAAACTGATACAGGATCTGTTTAATCGCCATGTCGGTTTTCTTTATTGCACTCTCAAGACATAACATTAAATAGAAATATTTTAAATGTAACTAAAGTGTCAGTTGTACATGTCAGTAAACATTGTCAATATAAAATAAAGTGTCAGTTGTACTATATAATAACAGTAATAACAATATAATATAAACTCCCAGGTGTAGGGAGTCTCAGCAGCAAACCCACCTTTATTATATATCTTCCTGAGACCCACTGCATCCGTCTGCCATAAACACTATGCAAACATACATGTTAGTTTTGGCCCATAGTGGACTCCATGTTGTGTTGTGTGAAATGGGGGGGAATTAA